ATAATTGAATTTATGAAATTTAATTTGGCAGGTGCATCTAATTTCAGTGTTTGAATAGCCTTCTATGTTTATGTATGAAGTTAAAACGCATTGGTTGTGGAGGGCTGCATGATGTTAACATTTAATATGTCCAAATATAAATTGAACGCATCCATATTTGAATTAGTAGAAGGGGATGTAATTTTTTATAGAATTTTTGAAAAACTGTAGTAATCTTTTTGAGTGTAGAAATGATTATGCCCTGATTATTTTTGATATTAGCTAAATAATTGTATATATATAAACAGTAATTATCTAAGAGTAACAACTCACCTCTCTCTTTCAGAGATGCTTTAAAAACTTTCTTGCTTGCTTTTATATATCAAATATATATATTTGAACATTTCATAGAGAAAAAATATTATTTTTGCTTAGTTAATATACTGCACAATTCTTTACTGCACAATATGACATATTACCTTCGTTGTTCCTGAATTGTAGGAAAAATATTCTTAATGCTGTGTTTCTAGAAAAGAATATTATCATTTCCTCCTCTAGCTTTTTCCAAGGTAGACTGATAGTATGTTGGTTTAAGCCTAGGGATTATAGTTAATCCACTCTTCGGGTGAGATGTCCTGGTCTTCCAGAATAGTCATTATTTTGTACTGAAAGACATTATGGAAATATTTTAAATATCAAGAACAAAGGTGCAGAAAACTATTTTATTACTTGCATATAACAATATTATTGTAAGTTAACTCTGACTTTATATTGAGGTAGAGTAGTGGATGTTCATTGTTCTGTGATGCATGTGTGAGCTGATAATATGCTAATGATATTTTGGCATTGGTAGAAACACATGAGTTGTCATGTCACAGTGAGTAAATATGCTATATCCTAAGAATATTAAATTTGCATGTTAAATATGCACTACAGAGTTAACATAAAATATAGATTGTAGTGCTAAATAAAATATGGTCAAAACTTTTCATGGATTTTGGGCTTCTGGAGGAAGAAATGAAGATGGCTCTGCAAAAAACAGAGCTGATGACGGCAGCAGAATGAAGAGCTGGTAAGTTGACCAGCTCTTTGATAATTCATCTCCAGACAAGGAGAGGGCCTGAGATCACCCACAAATGCTCCAGACAGCTGCTCCTCATGAGGAGACTGCAAGGTAGCAGTCTCTGATGGGTTTAGAGCTGTGGGACACGGGAATAGCCATGTTGCTCAAACTGCATCCGGTGCCTTTGAAAGGACATTAAGTTCACATACTTCCTTTTCTAATCGCTTTCAGAAATGGATTGTTAACTGCTTTTCAACTATTAGAAACCTTTGGATTAACAAGTTTTATAGCACCAGGTGAGTTTCCTTCAATCCTTAGTGAAAGAAAGTTTGAACTACAACTTTAAGAACTTAAAAAAAAATTTTTTTTGAATAAACAGCAAAACGGTGATTAAAATTTTGAGTTTGGAAAGTTACAAATGGACTAAGCATCCAGATAAATTTGAAATAAGATTTTGGAATTAATTATAAAGAATCCGTTCCTGTGGGAAAATGCTTCTGTTTTGAATTTTTTAAAAAACATAATAAGATAAGATTTTAAAAATTGGACACTAGAGGGAACTAAAGATTACAGTTAAAGAAGAACACATAAGCTTGACGTAGTTACAGAATGAAGCAAAATATTCTAACATTGGACGCATTGAAGTATATTTTTGAAACATTGACTCAGAAGTTAATTTTAATGGTATCAATAAAGACATCTTCCTCTATGGCGAGACTGTGTCCAAAGGATGTTATGGAAGAGGAACAAGTTCCTCCTGACAGATTGAGACTAAGTTGAAAGTGGATTTACAGATGACAGGCTACAAGAATGACATGGAAAAAGATGTTACCCTGGACATACAAAAGAAACCAGCTGATGTCTTAATAATTAAAAAGGATATACAAACAATAAAGCAAGAGAGTGGCCTGGATAATTTTCCTATATTGGATTTACAAAAGGGGCTTGTTAAAGTTTTGAAGAATCTCATGAGGAGGGACAAAGAAAAAATGAAAATAAATCAAGTTCTAGGACATTATTTGAATAGACTAGAGATTAAGATTGTTAGAAGTAAAAGGAAGGAATATAAAGTTGGTTTATTTGATCAAGATTAAAATAGATACAGTTGCAAGAAAAAGTATGTGAACCTTTTAAGGAAGGAATATAAAGTTGGTTTATTTGATCAAGATTAAAATAGATACAGTTGCAAGAAAAAGTATGTGAACCTTTTTAATAACACAAAAACAATTCTGATCCTTCATGTCTTTATTGAGAACAACCATAAAAACCTCATAGTGCTAGTGGAAAAAGTATGTAAACCCTTGGAATCAATAACTGGTTGACAACCCCCCCCCCCCCCACCTGGCAGCAATATAGGCGCTTCCTGTAGCTGTGGATCAGACCTGCACATTGTTCAGGAGAGATTTTAGCCCATTCTTCCTGGCAGAACTGCTTTAGCTCTGTCATATTCTTTGGACATCTCATGTGTATGGCTTTCTTCAAGTCATTCCATAGCACCTCTATTGGGTTGAGGTCTGGGCTTTGACTTGGTCACTCCAAAAGGCAGGTTTTGTTTTTCTAAAGCCATTCTGTTGTGGACTTGCTCCGGTGTTTTGGGTGATTG